ATCCAGAGCAACCAGGTAGGTTTCCCAAAGGAGCAAGGTTTTATCTGAGTCTAGAGAACTTGAACAGTCTAGAGACCTGGCCAGGCCAGGGTGGGGCATGCTGGAAGAACCGAAAGCTTCCTGGCAGAAAGAGCAGGCATGTCCAGGTAGACAAGCATGGAAAAGCAGGGGTAGATGAATCTCAGCAACACAATATTGAATCCAAGAAGACAGACACAAAAGGGTATTTACTGTAATTTTCCACAATGTGCAAAAACAGGCAATAGAAATCCTATCGGCAGTTATTCTCAGGGGATTGACTAGGAAAGGGCATGAGACTTCTGAGATACTGATTATAGTCTGTACCTTCATCTGGATGGTGGTTATAGGGGTGTGCCCGCTTCATACCATTAAGACTTGTGCACTTTACAGGATGCATGTTATATTTAAGTTTAAAAAATTAAAGGTCACTACAGTATTGGTGTAAAAAAACAAAACAAAACAAAAAAAAACCACTTGTGATTTTCTAAGAAGGGTAGAATTTTTTTTTTTGATGACGAGATGTAATGCCTGTGAATAAGATAAGCAATACGGAGAGGGATGTGGAGGAGTGGGATAAGAACCATATTTTATGTATAGGAATTAGGAAATGGAAAATGGAGCAGAGAAGGGCTCAGAAGAAAAGAACAAAATCAAAGGGACAGCTGAGAAATCTAACTGAATTTTCCCTAACCAAGCAGATTCAGATACAATTGCATTTATTGAATGTTCCTGTCTCCAGTGCTGTGCTAGGGTGATCCTAGCTAGGAATAAGTCAGGTGTGAAAATGCTAGTTCAGAGAGATGATGTGACTTGTCTGAAATCACATTCCCTGTAAATACTAGAGTTATCTTTGCTGGAAACATCCCATTTGTGCCCCTAAGACAAGGTTCCAAAACACTAAGTATTGGCTTCAATTCAAGGCAGAGTTTGAGCTCAGAGGAAGTGGAGGGGAGGCCCTGGCCTTTTTGGCGGTATAGGTGGCTTCCTGCCCAGGAGACACACCCAGCTTCAAAATCACCACTCTAGGCAGTCAGGTTGTTGCTAGGCACTAAGGGGGCCCTTGAGCTTTCAAGTAGAGCCAGTGCAGGACTGCTAACCTCACCCCATTGCAAGGCCAGGTACAGAATGGGGAAGGAAGCCAGTCTCCTGGGTTAAGCCTAAGTGAAGAGATTCCCCACCCCCCTTCTTTTTTTAATTTTACTGCCATCACCAGCCCTTACACGGAATAAATCATCTCACTCCCTGCCCTCTTCCCAATGTAACACTTAGTGGTCTCCCATGAACTCTAGTTATTTGTGTTTACTAGAAGGAAATACCTTAAATCAGGGAGCAACCATGTGTCTCCTACAAATACCAACTGTTCCTTGAGAATCAGCCACAGATAGAACTTGTATTGGAAGCCAAGAATATAGAGATATCATCTTCATGGAGCTCACAATCTGCCTGGGAACACAAAGCTGTACTACAGAGTGATATTTAGAATAGGGCATAGCACGTTGGGTACACAATATATATTTGCTGAATGAACAGGGACTGATGCGTTAGAACAGCTCACAGGTGCCAATTCAAGGCAGACATCAAAAAAAGCTTCAGGAAGGTAACCATGCCTATCTGCATAATAATGAATAGAAGCCCTGACATAGTCCTGTGCACCAAAGGATGGCCAGTTAGATTTCACTTCAGGGTACATATTGGTCTGAGGTTACAGGCTCTATCCCCGTCTGGGGTTGCAGATCATTCTCTGATATTTGTTTCCCTCTCAAATCAATAAAAACATATGCATTTTTAGAAGCCCTGGTCAGTGTTTCTCAGTGGTTAGAGCATTGGCCCTCTCACTGAATGGTCTCAGGTTTGTTCGATTCCCGAAGGCATGTAGTTTGCAGGTTCAATCCCTTGCCTGCGTGGGGATGCTTTCAGGAGGCCACCAATTGATGGTTCTCTCTCTCCTTCCCCCTCCATCCCTCCCTTCCATTCTTCCTAAAAAAAACAGAAAATATCTTTGGACAAGGATTTTTTAAAAAAGAATAGGAGTGTGGGCTGGCAGACTGTGGGAGGGGCATTCCAATTCAAGGAAAAATGTCCAATACATGCATGACAGTGGGTGGAAAATGTTTAGCAAAAGAGTAGTCATTGTTAAGTGCATTATACTGAGTGGTCTGTGGAAACTGACCACACATGATGCTCCTGGGAAAGCCAGTTACACTTGCATTCTCCAGCTGCCACCACCATGGCCCCCTCACAGCCCCCACCCTCCTGGAGTTGGCCATCTCTCCAGCAGCCAGGGCTGTGACCCACTCACTCAGACATTTTTCCATGGCACCACTGCTAGCCAGTTGCTAGCAATCTCATATTACTTTGTGGCCCCAACACTGATTTTTCACTAGTAGCCATCTGGCAGGAGCATTTTTAAGTAATCGGATTAAATTAATCTTTTGTAGAATTTGGAGTCACAAAGGGAAAATTAAACATGAGACATTTTAGAAATACTTCCCTCTGGTTCCTCCACATGGTCCTCTTCCTTCCCCGTCACTCAAAGAACTAAAATTGTCAGGGTGCTTTAGAATTGGTTTACTCTTAGATATCCAGGCAATGTGACCTTGTGGCAGGGTATGGGGCTAAAGCCAGATGAAATGGAGATGAACTCTAGCTTCTCCTCTTACTGGGTTGGTTTGGGACAAGAAATCTCATCTGTCATTCACTTGCATGGGAAAGAACTAGTACCACAGAGTTTGCTGGGAGACAGTGCTGGTATGTGAATTGTACCAATTCTGGTTTTATAACAAGGGGAATGGGTCTTGGCTCGGTCACTTACCTCTCTAAACCTCACACTTTAGAGGTTGACTCTTACCTAAATACACTACTTTGCATTTTTTACTAGAAAGTGTTAAATTAGGTATGAGCCACACAAAAAAACTATTCTGGCCCAGCTGGTGCTGCTCAGTGATTAAGCATTAACCTATGAACCAGGTCACGGTTCAATTCCTAATCAGGGCACACACCCAGGTTTCGGGCTTCATCCCCAGTGTGGGGTGAGCAGGAGGCAGCCAATCAATGATTTTCTCTCATCAATGATGTTCCTCTTCCTTTCTGAAATCAATCACTCAATATATGTATACTCATAAATACATTTTGCACATAGGAGATTCTCAGAGACACTTGTTAAATTTCCAAACATGATGGAAAAAAGCCCAAGACTAGGGAAACAGAAATCCAAGGCTCAAGTTCTAGTTCCACTACTTATTAGCCATGTCGCTTATGAAGCACATTTGTAATGAACTCTATTAACAGTGGTTCTCAACCAGAAGCAAATTTGCCTTAAGGGGCTATTTGGCAATACCTGGAGACATTTTTGGTTGTCACATATATGGGGGCTGCTACTAGCATCTAATTGTTAGAGGTTAGGGATGTTGCTAAAGATCCTATAATGCATAGGACAATCCCCCTATAATACAAATTATTATCTGGACCCAAAGTGCCATGATTGAAAAAAAACCTGTGCTAGGTTCACTCAATTCAGTAAACCTCAGCTGTCTTGCCATAAAACCCCTTTACCTGCATGCAAAACTTGAGATCATTGCAACGGCTAAGAAACTGGTGCAGACCAGGAAATTCCTTAACACCAGGAATTCAAGATTCCTGCAGACCAAAGGAAATACCTTCACAATATTTTGAACAAACTGAAGTATTAGAGATACTAAGGCCCTATCAGCATTACTAACTCCTTTGCCAAGTTAAATTTATTCCTAGAATTAAGAATAGCAAAGCTTAACTAAATTAGTAAGAGGCAGAGTTCACTTGTCTTTATGTTCACCATATTTTATATTTGTATTCTAGCATCTAGAACAGTCCCAAAGGCCCAAGTACTAAACAACCACCAGAAGCATGGAGTTAATCATCCCTAACCCAAAACATCATTTGGGAATTGGTACCAAGTCTGTTACCAGAACAGATCTATAAATCCAAGAGCCAGGCGACAGAAGTAGCAAGGCTCCTCAGCCCGATCAGGCTGGGGAAGCAGCTGCCATTTACTGTCACAACCACAGCTACTGCTCCGCCTCAGCTGTCTGAACCAAAGTACAGGTCTCCATACACAGAAAGCCAGGATGAACTATTTCAGGAAGACCGGAACAGAATTGCCAGAGAGTTTCTGAAGGAAGACAAGCTGTAACAAAGGTAATGGAAATGGAGAAAGAGCAATTCAACAGCTCTGCCTATTATTTACCTTTATGACCCCATTTTGTCCGATTTAAATTCTAACTTTGTAAACAAAGGCCAGGCCTGTTTCTATTTCCCAGCTCAGCAAATGTGTTGTAGTTCTTATCTCTAGCTCTATTCCAGACAAATTCTTTTTCTCAAATACTGACTACTAAGAGTTACACTGATAATTACCACAGAACATTCTTATTAAGAACCAAACTTTAATATTTCAAGGATATCCCAAATGAGTTACTAGTGAGGTTACAGAAGTTCCCACTCATGCCACAACAGCAAGAATCAAGAATTCTGCAAGTTAATTACCTCTTTGGATACATAAAAACAATATATTAAAGGATGTCACAAAGTGCAAAAAGACATTCAGCAGAGCAAAACAAACAGCAGGCCGACTGTCTTAACAAGAGGGCAGAGAAACTGGAGTTCAGTCCCAAGAAACAGCTGCCTCACGCAAAAACAGGTCCAGACATGGGTTTTGATCGATTCGTTACTAGTCAAAAGCAAACTCAAAGGAAATTGAGGTTTAGATTTCCCATGACTGTAATAAGAACTTAGAACAGAGAACCTTTACCTAACATCTCATATGTAGGTTAAGCAAGAAATAATAAGCAGTGAGACTTAGCCAGGCTATCTGATCGTGGACGGACACTTCTGCTGCCGAGCTCTGAGCAACTCACGCAGAACGATCTGGAATTGCTCCTGCACCACCATTTTTATCATGTGCTCCTTTGTGTGAATATCGGGTCTCAGCCACTGCCTCGCAAGCGCTAGCAGATGCCTAAGACTTCCCTGGGCGTAGATGGACCCTCATAGCGGAACTTCCTGAACATCTGCCTGAAGATGAGAGGACTGACAGGATTCCTTCCTGGCCCGGTCTCAACATTTTTGACACAGACTTTTTCAAGACTCTTCTGCGGATGTCCAGAAGGCTCTTGTGGAACCTGGGCCTGGGGAGCCCCAGTTAGGACATCTTCTGGCTCCTTAGCCACCATCTCATTTGGAGGTGACATTATTTGATCATTCTGGACTTCTCTATCTTTTTGTGTCTTTGGGTCTTCTTCGGTCTCCATTCTGGAACTCTGGAAAAGGATGACTCAGGCTGCTAGGTACAAGGAGAGAAGTCAGTCAGCCAATCAAATACCTGTAAGAGAAAAACAGACCACCAAGGCTATTAAAACCACCCTGATCTCTGGGTCTGGACCAGATCCAGGTTCCATTAGTTTTCCCATTTTAACAATTTTCTTTCTCTTCAGAGATGCATAGTTTTTAAATTTTACTTTTCAACTACAGTTGACATTCAGTATTACTTTATATTAGTTTCAGGTGTACAGCATAGTAAAGATAATTATGTAATTTACAAAATGATCCCAATAATTCAAGTACCTACCCGGTACCATACATGGCTATTACAGTATTACTGATTATATTCCCTATTAGAGGCCAGTGCACTCATTTGTGCACGGGGTGGGGTCCCTTGGCCTGGTTGGGCGATCTGGGCCAGCCAGGAGGAGGGACTGTGGGCTTGGCCTGGTTGGGCCATCTGGGCCAGCCAGGAGGAGGGGCTGTGGGAGTGCACTGACCACGAGGGGGAAGGGCAGGGGATGGACACAATGGGACTCCTGTGTTGAGCAGCTGCCCCCTCGTGGTCAGTGTGCATCATAGCTACCAGCTGGTTGTCCAGTCGTAACAGTCACTTAGGCTTTTAACTATATAGATGTTGAACTTTACATCGCCATGACTATTTTGTAACTACCAATTTGTATTTTTTAAACCCTTCACTTTTTGCACCCATCCTCCTAACCAACCCCTTCTGGCAACCATCAGCTTGTTCTCTGTATCTGAGTTTGTTTCTGTTTAATAGGCTTTCTTTTTTTTAAATTATGTTTTTATTGTTTTTTAGAGAGATAAACATTGATCAGCTGTCTTCTGCATGCCCCTTACTGGGGATCAAGCTGGCAAATGGACATGTGCCCTCACCAGGCATCGAACCAACAATCTCTTGGGATAATGCTCAACCAACTGAACTACACCTGCCAGGCTCAATAGGTTTTCTTCATAAAGCTATTAGAAATTCTATTTTTATTTCCTCTTGTTGGATCAAGTAACACAATTAAGAAAATGTGCGGTTTACCAAAATGAAAAGTGTAGACTTGGGACTATATTCCTTATGTTGAACTTTACATCCCCATGACTATTATGTAACTACCAATTTGTATGGGAAATTGAACTTTGAACTTCCCAGAATCTCTTGGGATGCCTAAGTCAGCTTTAGCAAACCAATTTAGTGGGAAGAATGGAGTGGACCAATCAAATACCGGTAAAATGCCAGAAAAGGGCTTTGCTTCATTTGAGGTTAGAGCCCCAATCCAAAAGAGCAGTTATTTACAGGAAAACCACACCTTATGTTAATTTTTTTATTGATTTTAGAGGAAGAGATAGAAACATTGAGGAGTGAAACGCTGCACACCACCTACTGGGGAAGAAACACACAACTGTGCCCTGCTGGGGAATCGAACCCAAGCTCATCAACTAAGCCACAACAGCTGGGCTGCTAATTTATTTTTTAAATATATTTTTTTGATTTTTTACAGAGAGGAAGAGATAGGGACAGAGATCTAGAAACATCAATGAGAGAGAAACATCGATCAGCCGCTCCCTGCACACCCCCCACCGGGGATGTGCCCGCAACCAAGGTACACGCCCCTGACCAGAATCGAACCTGGGATCTTTCAGTCTGCAGACTGATGTTCTATCTAATGAGCCAAACTGGCTTCTGCATATTTTTTATTTATTTTTAATAAATATACTTTATTGCTTTTTCACAGAGAGGAAGGGATAAGGATAGAGAGCTAGAAACATGGATGAGAGAGAAACATCAACCAGCTGCCTCCTGCACACCCCCTACTGGGGATGTGCCCGCAACCAATGTACATGCCCTTGGCCGGAATCGAACCCGGGACCTTCCAGTCCGCAGACCGATGCTCTATCAACTGAGCCAAACCGGTTTTGGCTGGGCTGCTAATTTATAAGAGGGGCAAGAAACTCAAATGACAAGTTAATGACTAAATTTTCACATAAGGTTATGTCCAATCAAATAATATAACTCCTATGATGTAGTCAGCTTTCAGAGATCATGTTTTTTCATTAACTCCCCTCCTTTAAGTACTAATTCCTCCTTATTCCACACAGAAGTATTGACATTTAAAATCAGGTCCAATATATTGAAGTGTTGTTCCAATGTGGGAGAGTTTCAGATTTGACCCCTGGGCAGAGCACATGCAATAGGCAACCAATGAATGCAAAAATAGTGGAACAGGTTGATGTCTCTCTCTTTCTAAAAAAAATAAAATAAAAATCTATCAATAAATTTTTTTTAAAATCCCAGTGTTTAAAAAAGATTGCTGTAACTCAAGGAGGCTTTGGATGAAAAGGAAATACTTAGTCAAGGAGAGGGTGGATGAAATATTGTGAGAAAGCAGAATTTGGAAATTAAAGTGACCATCAACAGGGAAAATGATGACATAAAATAAAGTACTGCTAGCCATTCAGGGAGATTACTGGGCAGCCTTGTTAGAGAAGTGGTTGGCAAACTGCGGCTCAAGAGCCACATGCGGCTCTTTGGCCCCTTGAGTGTGGCTCTTCCACAAAATACCATATGCGGGCATGCACATACAATGCAATTGAAACTTCGTGGCCCATGCGCAGAAGTCTGTTTTCTGCTCTCAAAAGAAATTTCAATCATTGTACTGTTGATATTTGGCTCTGTTGACTAATGAGTTTGCTGACCACTGGGTTAGAGCATCATCCAGATACACCAAGGTCTTGGGTTCAACCTCCAGCCAGGGCACATACAAGCAACCAATGAATGAATAATAAACAGAACAAGTTGATACCTTTTTCTCCCTTCCTTTCTCAAATCAACTGGGGGAACGGGGAGAGAGGAAGTAGGCCTAGTGTTGAAATGTGAAAATGTCCATTAAGTCATCATCACATCACTAAGATGTAGATCAATATAATATGCATAGTATAATCCCACCTGAGAAAATCTTAAGTCTTTCTCTATTTTTTTATTTTTTTTTTATTTTAATATTTTTATTTATTTTTCAGAGAGGAAGAGAGGGGGATAGTTAGAAACATTGACGAGAAACATCGTGCCCGCAACCTTGGCCGGAATCGAACCGGGGACCCTTCAGTCCGCAGGCCAATGCTCTATCCACTGAGCCAAACCGGTTTCGACTTATTTTGATTTTTAATCCTCACCCAAGCATATGCTTACTGATTTTAGAAAGCACGGGAGATGAACACTGATGTAAGACAACACTGGTTGCCTTCCCTACGTTTCTGCCTTGGGGTTCAACCTGCAACCTTCCCGTGTGCAGGATGATCACGCTCCAACGTAGTTTGGTTTTTTTAACCACAATTATGTATCACTTTCATAACTCGAGGGAGAAAACCTGCGTGAAAAACCCCTAAGCCACTTGGGAAAACACCCTTGCAGTAATTCTAATTTCCAACACCCAGGCCTTTACAGCCCTGGCTTCTAGAAAGTATCACTGGTCAGCAGATCAGTCCTCAGGGTTGGCTCTGAAAAGAGGAACCCAGCTTATTTATAAAGCTTATCCGTTTTATTTATTTTTCGAAGGCGGGTTGTTGGGTGTGTCTTTTCTTTCATTTTAAAATGTTTTGTATTGTCTGCCTGCACGCCCCCTACTGGGAATCAAACCCAACTGAGTGATTCCGTTGGGTTAGATTCCCAGTAGGGGGCGTACAGGGCAAAGCCTATCAGTTAAATTTGTTTTACTTTAATCCTCACCCGAGGACATTTTTTTTTTTTCCTTTAATTTCTAGAGAACGGAAAGAAGGGAGGCGGGAGAGGAAGAGAAACACTGACGCGAGACGCACCGACTGCCGGCCTCCCGCACGCGCCCCGACGCGCTGGTGGGCGGGCCTGCGCTAACCACTGAGCAGGCAAACCTCTCCTTCAAGGCCCGGACACTCCGCGGCAGCTGTCCCTCATCCCTTAACTTTTCCAGTCAGACAGACAAACTGAGGCTCGGAGAGTGGGCACACGTGGTGGGACCACGGAGCCGAGTAAACCCCCCCACACATCCCCCGCGTCCCGCGTCCAGGCCGACTCCTCCCACCAACATGGGCGCGGCTCGGAAGGCGGAGGCCGGGCCGGAAACGCGCTTCAGGGGAGTCCGACCGAGACCTCCTCCTTCTCCTCAGCGGAGGCGACGCCCAACGCCACACCGGGCGACCCCGAGGGCAGGGCCTCCCGGGCCCTCACAGAGGGCGCGGGGGGAGGAGTCGGAGTGGGGTGGGGGTTCACCTGTACACGGTCCACCTCAGAGGGAGCTCCCCGCGAGAGCAGACACCTCCCAAACGAAACCGAGAAAAGGAGACCCCAGCCCCGGCGCCAAGATTTGTATCCGGGGGCCGGAACCGGAAGTCCCGCCCTACCGGAAACTAGAAGTGGAAAGGGGACTAGAGTATAGAGTGGCCGGGCCTCTCTAGGCTTCGAGGGCGGGGGGGGGGGTGGTCCTCCGCAACTTTATGGTTTTAACCCGTGATGGGCTTTGTTCTTCCCCAGTCCCTAGTCCTCAGTCCTCTGCCCTCGCTCTCGCCTGCGGTGCGGGACGTTGGGTGCAGCCTCGGCTGCTTTACCACTTCCCAGGAGTTCTTAGTCTTCCCTAGCCACAGTTTGCCCATCTGCAAAATGGAAAGCGAAACCGGTTTGGCTCAGTGGATAGAGCGTCGGCCTGCGGACTGAAGGGTCCCGGTGAGGGGGCATGTACTTTGGTTGCGAGCACATCCCCAGTAAGGGATGTGCAAGAGGCAGCTGATCCGATGTCTCTCTCTCATCGATGTTTCAACTCTCTATCCCTCTCTCTTCCTCTCTATAAAAAATCAATAAAATATTTTTTTTTAAAAACGGAAAAAGAAAGGGGGAAATGAGACATTCTAGAAGCCCGCGCGCAGCTGAGTCAGGGCCCCGCCTGGGTGGCGACTGTTTGGACTGTGGTCCTGGGTGGCGCCCGGTGGAATCACTTCACATGGGAAATGGAAT